ATCCAATAGAATAAACTGCCTAACAGAACCAGATATCTTGTCTAAAGTGCTGTCACTTTTGTAGGATGGTGAGGTTGGTGACCTTGTTGTGAGTGTAAGGTACCAAAAGATAAAATCTCAAGCCTGAAGTGATTGGAGAAATGCTTATTGCTACTGTTTGGTAGCTTATGAGCAAGTATAGAGCTTTGAAAAGTATAGAGGAAGTGGTAGCTTAGAAAAAAAAGGATGTTTTAAGTGCACTACCTGGCCTAAATAGGATGGAGATGCAGATTTAAAGTAAGAATTGGATTCTTAAGATGTGTTGAGTGTGGACCCGTTAATTTATTTAATGAAGTGTTATAGATGAAGCTTGCATATGATAGTAAAGTGTACTGGTACTTTTCCCAAGCTGCCACCTTTTCTTGTTGCTGTCATGGTTATGCTGGGAAGTGGGGATGGAGAAAGAGAATGCTCAGTGAACCAAGATGTGAACTATTTTGCACATGTCCTATATACCGATATATTCTATTGATACATCCTTTTTGGTACCCAGAGTTGGTGGAGTTTGAGGGAGGTGCTGATGCTAATTCTCCCACTACCCCAAGAAGGAACATGGCCAAGAAGCCCAGCGGGGTGATCTGAGCCCAGCTAACAAGGAACCCAAATTCTTTCTGGAAATTTTGTGGGTGGAGCTTTAAAAAACCTCTTTTTTTTGCCCTGTCCCCTTTTGCTTGCTTATTCTATCTATTCTGTAGTGTTGCAGTTGTCAAGGAATGATGGGTGGGAGGGGGGTGCTTTTTTGTTTAATCAGGCTTTTAATCTTTTTGTAACTTAATGAGAAGCTATGTGAATAATGGGGCAAAGATTTTACTGACTCTTGTATTGGGGCAATTTGAGTTCATAGATTCATAGATGTTGGGGTCGGAAGGGACCTCAGTAGGTCATCGAGTCCGACCCCCTACCCTGGGCAGGAAAGAGCTCTGGGGTCAGACAACCCCAGGTAGGTGCTTGTCCAGTCTTCCCTTAAAGACCACCAGGATAGGGGAGAGCGCCACCTCCCTTGGAAGCCCATTCCAGATTCTGGCAACCCTTACTCTGAACAAGTTCTTTCTAATGTCCAGCTTAATCTGCTCTCCATCAATTTGTGGCCATTGTTCCTAGTTACTCCAGGGGGTGCCCTAGTAAATAGTGTCTCCTATTCCCTGCTGCCCTCCCCTGATTAATTTATAGGCAGCCACAAGATCACCTCTCAGCCTTCTCTTGTGAAGGCTGAAGAGATCTAGGTCCCTCAGTCTCTCCTCGTAGGGCCTTGCCTGCAGGCCTCTGACCATACAAGTGCCCCTCCTCTGAACCCTCTCAAGATTCTCCACATCCCTTTTGCAGTATGGAGCCCAAGACTGGACACAGTACTCCAACTGCGGCCTGACCAGTGCCGCATAAAGGGGAAGCATCACCTCCCTGGACCTGTTTGTCATGCATCTGCTAATGCATGATAAAGTGCAGTTAGCCTTGTTGATCACTTCGTCACATTGATGACTCATGTTTATCTTGGAGTCTGCTATGACTTCAAGATCCCTTTCCGGTGCTGTGCTGCTGAGATGGTCATCCCCCAGCCTGTAAATCTGTTGGTGGTTCTTTTTGCCCAGGTGCAGCACTTGTCTTTGTAAATCCACATCCTATTTCATTCTGACCCATTTTTCCAACCTGTCCAGATCTGCTTGGATCCATTCCCAACCCTCTGGTGTGTTAACTTTGCCCCATAATTTGGTATCATCTGCAAACTTGGACAGGGTGCTCTCCATGCCCTTGTCCAAGTCACTGATGAAGACATTGAAAAGCACTGGTCCAAGGACCGATCCTTGAAAGACTCTGCTGCCCATGTCTTTCCAGGTCAATATCAACCTGTTCATCACCACTCCAGGTGCAACCCCTAAGCCAATTTGCCTCCCACCTGACCATGTAATCATCTACATACATGGAGTTCATTACTCCAAGGCAGTAATTTGCTATGGCTGTCAGGCAGTGCAAGCTCATGCAATTTTTGTTGTAACAACCTTTCTGAAGAACATATGCTCAAATGTAACACAGTTCTGACTTGGCTAGGAATGTCCTGTTCTATGTATTTGAGTTACAGGAAACTATTAGGATGCTGTGGAGCCACCATGGTTCTGTTGGCGCTTGCAACCTCACGAGACCTGTTTTAACTCTCAAGGTTTGATCATGTACGGCACAAACAAAGTGCATTTGTATCATAAAAATGATGAGCTGGTCATAGATTACAAGGAAACCTAGTCTTGCATTTAAGAACTGCTGAATTTCTTTTGTGTGGTGACAGATGTAAGACCACAGTGAAGTGCTTTGCTAAGTGCCTCACTTTGCTAAGTGCCTACATCTTTGTGGCTTTTGACCATTTACCACTTGTACCCCATCCCACTTTCACTCGGTACACAGGGTGCTTAAGGCTTCAGTCCATTCAGTGTGCCAGGAGTCTGCTTTATACTTAGCTTTTATTTATACCCTATGCATAGCATTCAGTTGCTGAAGGGAAACATCCTTATGCTCTGTTGTATGCTGCCCAAGTCCTTTGTGTAGCATAACAGTACTGACAGCTTAACATTTTTGATGTTGCACCACCAGTTTTCCAACTCGGTTGGAGCATTCACAAATGTAACCAGACTCAGAAGATGAGTCAAATGTGTGTTTGAGGCCTTCTGAAAGGGCTGAACTTGACCAACTAGGCGGTATTATTTATGAGGGATTGGATGTGGATATTACTGGGGACATGAGTCTTAATGGTATTTATGTTTCTTTAGAAACTTGTGTTTGGAATTTTAAAATGTCTGTATTACATAAAATTGACTTACAGTCTTAACAATGGCCATTAGTTTTACAGAAGGCAGGATAGATTTGCCCTCTGTTTATGAATGCTTATGCTATATATCTGTTTTAGTTAGCCTATAAGATGCAAATATACCCTGCCTTCTGCCTGACGTCAAACTAACTAGGCTCTGTTCGTTAGTTTTACTTCACTATTTAAACAGTTCCTCTGCTACAGGGACTGGAGAGAAATAATATGAAATTAAGCTTTCATTACCCAAAATTAATATGTTTGAAAATGTTCTTTGCTTGCTTAGTTTAGCTGAAAGATTTTTTTTTTTTTTCAGATGGGAATTTTGGGGGTGGGGAGTTTTATAATGCTTGTATGTAGTCATAGGGGTACAAGTTGTAGTCCTATTGGTCTAAGGACATAGGCAGACAAGGTTCTTTGAGTAAATCTGATATTTTTTTATTAAACCAACTCAGATAGTTGGAAAAAATCTTCTTTGCAAGCTTTTAGGTACAAATACCATTCGTCAGGCTGAGGAAGCATCTGCAGTTGGTGTGTGCTCTTCCTGAATGGAATAAATAGTAAAGAAGTCAGAGGCTGGGCTGGTATGCATCCAAGACAGGCAGTCAGTGAAGATGTAAATTGAGGAGTCAGTGGGTGAGAGACGGGCTTGCGGGGGAAAGGAGGGGAATAAATGTAGCTGGTAAATAGTGGGGAGGTACCTGGGGAGGGAGGAAGGGAGGGAGTGTGTATGTGTGTAGTCATGATTTTTTTGACTCTTTCAAAGTTATTGGTGACTGAATTTGTAACAGCTGTTTACTAAATCAGTGCAAAAGTAATATTTAGTAATAGAATGGTTGGGGAAATTGTTTGGTCTTAAAATGTATTCAGAGCCATTCTTAATCTGGTGAAATTATAAATTATGCTGTCAGAAATGCCAAACAGAAGTCTGCAAGGCTAATCTGTTCCCATAGTGTGTGTTGTTTGCAAGACAGTATTCAATTTATGGCTGATGGGGTTTGGTTCTCTGCAGCTAGAGCCTTATTACATAATGTAGAATCCTTTTTGTTTTTTTTTTTACATGAACAGACAAAATGGGTATTAAAAAGATGAACAGTGGAGGTTGGGAGGCCTCAGTGATAGTATTGTCATGGAGGGAAAAGCAAGTGAAGAAATGAAGAATGATCAGAGGCCACACCTGAAATCTGGAAGATGGGAGCAGGGTCATACTCTGTGTAGAGAGTTGTGGAGGGCAAGAAAGCTGGCAGTAAATTGTAACAGCCCATGGAAGGGCTGTTCAAAACAGACTATATTAAAGTTTTTCCTTTTAAGGGGAACCCACCCCAAAAAAAGCCATACCAAAGTTTCTTTACAAAGACAATTTATTTAGGTTGCAGAGTCAAGTATTTGGTAATTAGGAAATGTCAGATTTTATGGTTTCTTTTGCAGCTTCATCCAGTCATCTTATGCATAAGCTTATATCATCTTTAATTGTATAATTACACTGCTGGTGTTTCCCTTCCCTCTCCCCTTCCCTCCTTCCCCCACTCCCCTCTGACTACTTACCTCATTCAGTGTAGAGAATGTGGATGTACCGGGGAATAAATTAGTTGGTTAGTCACCTTACTTTCCTTTAGTTTTGAGTTCCTCACTTTGAAACCTGAATCACTTCCTTTATATGATGTGATAATAATTGTTAGCAGAATATATAGTGAAAAGATGATGATAACAATGTACTTGTAGGGGAGACCAGTGCTTCGCAATATTGCTGGAAGACCAGCAGAGGGAGCACAAGGCAACAATCTTTCTCCAGCATTGTCCTCAGGACAATAAAGCAATTTCAGAATGAAGTAAATAAGTCCTCCTCACCTATTTTGGGTTTTTCAGAGGATTGTGTTTTAAAATTGGTTTCAAGAGTTCCAGCTAAAATTGGCTCAGTCTGAGCCATCAGAATGAAAGGCTGCCAGCTTTTTTAAATAAATGTTTACTGTATTTTAAATTGTATAAAGGAACACCCTATTTAAACACTGATGCTGTAAAAACTCCAGCTTATGCTTACATGAAAGGAATTTCTCTACTGGGTCTTTTTGAGTGAGTCTAACTCAGTATCACACACTCTCACTCTCACTCTTACTTTTGTTGTCTTATTCATAGTTTCATATACAGACATGTATTTCCTTTTCATGTGTCTTAGGAATGGGCCTTAACAAAGGACAAGTCAGTGAAACACATGGATTTGTGCCTTACTGTTGTGGACAGAGCCCCTGGTTCACTAATAAAACTACAGGGTTGCAGGGAAAATGACAGCCGACAGGTGAGTACATAATGCAGTACACTGCGCAGACAGTTTTACTGGAATAACAGCAGTGTGAATAAAGGTGTGTACCTGTGTTCTTGCTCTCTTCTTGCGCCCTGTGCTGGTGGGTAGAGGGAGTGTTTGTATTTACTGTATGTGTACTTGTATGTCTATATATGTACAACACTTTAAAAAAAATCTGTAGTTGGCTTCCTGTGCCTTCAGAACTACTTGGAGACAGCATCAGAAATGAAGTAATGCCCCTCTTGTGTTGATCACCCCTTGTATTGGTTGCGGAGGGTCACCATGTAATTTAATTTAAGACAGGAAGGATGAAATTTAGAAAGTAGATGTTTCATGAGTACCAGATGAGGAAGAGAGTATCAGGGTAAGGGATCTTTCCTTTTTCCATTAAGCTGTGAGGAGGTTGAACACTAGAAGAGAAATGTCATCAATTAATCTTTGAAGCCTACTAAAAGGAATCCATGTCCCAGATCTCTTCACTTTTTGTTTTTCACTGGGGCATCAGCTCATTTGGACCCAAGAGGTTGGTCTGCGGACTGTATCAGGCCCACAGACCAGCTCTGCGCACTAGAGCCAGTGTGCAGGGCCAGTCAGGTGCAGGTGTCATGTACAGCATGCATCCCAGACCAGTCTTGTGCGCCTCTCAGCTCCAGCCCCATGCACCACATGCAGCCCAAGGTGGCCACGTGCAGCATGTCCCCCAGACTGGCTCCAGGTCCAGCACGGACTGATTTGGTGAGGGTATGGCATTAGTGATGTGTGCAGCATGTGCCCTAGACCAGTACTGCACATGCTGTGGACTGGCCTGTGTATTGTGGGCCAGAGCTGGTGCATGCCGCATGCATGGCCTGCCTGATGCTCGTAGGCAGCAGCCCATTTAAACCCATAATCTGTACTAGTATTATGCCCCTAACAATAAAACAGCTATGACAAACTAGGTAAAACAAGACCCTAAGCAACAGGATCATAACAAAAAAAAAAAAAGTCTTGAGGTTTTTGCTAAGGGAAGCTAAAGATAAGTCTTGACATATCTATATAGAGGCATACGGATTGTGTAGGTCATTTTTTTTTTTCTAATGGGAGGTAGCAGTGTTTCTGTCTTCCTGCAAATTATAGCCTGAAAGTCTAGCAGGTCCAGATTTAGGACCAAGTAATTTGCTTCAATTCTACTAAACCTTTGGGGTTGCTACCTTATATCCTCAGTTCTCTTCTCCACAAGTGGTTACACAATGATTTCTGACTATCCATTGTCTTCAGGTAGCATAGAATGTGGGTAGAAGGTTTGCAGTGATACTCATACACAGTTGTCCTTTTCCCACTCAGTAACTACAAGAATATTTCCCAAATGACCTGAGGTGTCTTTTGCACTTTTAACTCTGTTTATGACCTTCTTATCCCATATCCAAAATCCAGATAAAATTCCATATATTTGTCTGTCTGGAACAAACTTCAGCATGACTTGATTGTAGTGCGTCTCCTCTTTAAACTAGTTTGGTATAAGTATAAGCTGGTTTCTGTTTGCCCGCAAATTAACTGCTTACAGCACCTCATACAACCTAGATGGGATTTGGTTTTTATTTTCATTCAAAGGCATGCATTTTTATGTTCATATCTGAAGCTGTTACATGTAACAAAGTAAAGAAAGATGCTAACATTTGAGCAGGATCATGTGTTCACAATAATTTGTTGCATTTTACAAGTGAACAGTGAATCCAAGATGAAGAGGCCCATAGGGATGGGAGCGCATTTGTAAGCCTGTGTCCAGGGCAGTGATTCTCAACCAGGGTGGTGTTGAGGTGCCTTGCAATCCTTTCAATGGTGCTGCAGGATGCCACACAGTGTTAGCCCTGTTTGGTGTGCAAACATGATTCACAAGATAAACCTAGCAATTTAAAATAGGAATTCATAGTGTTAAAAAATATTCTGTCCTGCTGTGGTCTTTCTGAGTTTTTTGCAACAGAAAAATTATTTTTCTGTATTAAAAAAAAAAAAAGAAAGTGAAAACTAAGGACTAGCATTTTCTGAAGAGTCAATCCAGGGGTGCCTTGAGTCTGAAAAGATTGAGACCCAGCACCAATCTAGGGTATTTTACCATGCAAAACTCTCCTTGTTAAACTTTCCTGAAAAATAGGTCAAGCCAGGAGCCATTGTGTGTAATGTATGGGACTAAACAACCAAACCTGTTTCCAGAGACATATGCATATAATATTTCTGAGTTATCTCCTTAGTGAAGCCTGGACATACGATAGTCAAAGACCAAGGAGAACAGAACTTGACTTCCTCTCCTGAGCAACCAAGAACTGATGTGCATAATCAGCAACAGAAGTATCTAACATACCATTTAAGGAAAAAAGATGAGAGTGCGCCTTTTTGAAAACAGGGAGAAGGCAAAGTGCAAAGGAATGAGCAAGGATTGCAGTCCCTAACAGCAACTCACTAAACAAACTGTATTATTAATGCAACAGCTGTTTAATCCTCAATTTGTCATGCTCAAGTCAATTAATACTTGCAGAGTTATCTCCAGCAGCAAATCCCTTTAATCCAGCTGTGTAACAGGCTAGTTCTGTAAAGTCATAGTTATTTTTCTCCCCTGTCAATTTTGCTTTTGTGCTAACAGTGCAGGAACTCTGCGAAAGAAGTCACTTAGTAAATAATTCATAGGTGGAAGGTTACTTTGTGAACTACTACTGTATTTACTCAAATATAAGAGAAGGTTTGCTGGTTTTTCCCCAATTGGCATTGGTGGGGAAAAGTTCCCTTGTCCTGTGTTCGCATACAAGGAAACCTCATTAAATATATTGTTTATCATTAACTGCTGCCAAAACCAACACGTGTCCAGTACTGGAAAGAAGCTATGAAGCTGTTTAAAAGCAGTAAGCACTTAACACACTTGGATGAATTCAAGGCAGACCTCCAATAATTAGATTCTATATCTGGAAAATTATAACAAATTCATAAATTTGCCATATATAGAATCTAATTATTGGGGAGCCTACTTATATGCAAGTAAATACACCATTTAGCAAGACTGGGCAAAGCCTAATTAATAAACTCTATAGATCTGTTTTACAAATAGTGTTGGAGAGAACTTCAATTCTATCTTCCCTTGCTTATCTCCTACACCCTCCCACTCTTCCCATGCAGAAGTGAAAACCAGCTGCCTGTGCCTGACTCTGTGCACAGTTGCTGGAATTTAAGGAAACTTGGCTAAGATTAGTTCTTCAGCTTGGGACATGGGGACTTAGCCTGAGAGTTTTATAGGCATTCCCGTTAATATTAATGTGACATTATCCTTGTAACTTGTGCTCCCTGAGGAAGGGCAGGTATCTTTCCTATTTTTCACAAAGGGGAGCCAGTCAAGGGAAATGACATCCAGGGCCACAGCCAGGAATCTGCTAAGAGCCATAAACAACACAAGTCCTTTGTTCTCAGTCCCATTCCAAATCCATCCAAGATTAAAAAAAAAAAAAAAAAAAATTCTCTCTTAGATCAGATGGCAATGACCCTGGTACCCACAGCACTGTTTCTGACTGCAACAAATTACTTGGACACCTCCCATAATTTTTGACCTGTGGCCATGGTTTCTGCAATTTGTGAAAGGTCTTGCTGATCACATCTTGGGTTTTTTATTGTAAAGCCAATACTATTTCTGATAGTTTTGGTTCACCAAGCACAGATTTTGTAGACCTCAAAGTCTGGTATGCAGTGGGATTGTGTGCATTAAAGAGGAGAGCTGGAGAAAATGATTTGATATAACTTCCTCTATACAGAGTATCAGCTGGGGGTATTGCTATTCCTTGGGGATAGTTTGGACAGGCCTTGAAAAAGAAACAGCTGTTTCAGGATTTGAAGCTATGACAAATCTAAGCTAAAGAATGTTTGAGGATGGAGAACTCAAAAGACAGGACCTGAAATGCTGTTTTACCCACAGTTTTTTATAGCTCAGTAACTTTATTTTCTCTTTCAGAAATGGGAGCAAATTGAAAGCAACTCTAAACTGAGGCACGTTGGCAGCAACCTGTGTTTAGACAGCCGAAATGCCAAAAATGGTGGGCTTACTGTTGAGGTTTGCAGCCCTTCTCTATCACAGCAGTGGAAGTTTACACTTAATTTGCAGCAGTAGAAGGGCTCACATGCAAAATGCCATTTCACTTCCTAGACATTGGGCAAAGTTTTGATTACATTACTGATATATTTCTTAAACTTTCCACGGAACTTATATACCTCAGTATTCCATCTTTGTCTGAAAGTAGGAGAGAACTAAAGCAAACACAAGGGAACCAAGGGGACTTGGAACACTGCAATTCTCACTGAACACAACTGCAGCACAGTTCCTTTGTTGTGTGAAGATTTACCAGTTCCTTTCTGACATCAGCTTACTACTTGCACAGCAGATGATTAACATCCCAAGGAACAATTGATGTACAGTAGAAAATGGATCTCAATACAAAGGGAGGGAGGGAAGCTGGGTGCGGGGAGGGTGTGGGGCAAAATGCTAGGAGAAGATCATTTGAAATCTCCATTTACATAGAAATCATTTGTGGTTTCCAGAAACTGAAGTGTCATTTTGAAGGTTTTTTCCATGTGTACTTGGTATATTTGAATATGAACTTTTCTATGATGGACTCAAAATATATATGTTCGTTCCCAATTGTTTATATCTATTTTCATCATCCTATAACTATCAACAAAGCCAGTTAACATACATTGGTAATTGGAAATTGGATTGAGATGCTATGAAAGAGCAGAACTCTGTGTAGATGCAGATTTTGTGCTGCTGAGCGTAATGTCCATGCAAACACTGGATACTTTTGTTTTGCAAACTGGATCTATTTCATAGTGCTTCACCCTCACTGAAGATTATGGAACTCAGGAGGAGGAGGAAGAGGAGGAAATGGCAGGACAAATGAATGTGTCTGCACAGGCCCTTGCTTGGATTCTCTCTTCCAGTTTGAGAATTCAGCACGATTGCTTGGGGTATAAGAAAACTGGTACTTGATATTTTGTTTTGAACATTTCTGTAGTTCTTAATTTTTAAAATACTCTTTTCTTTTATTACAAACAGTGTGTACATGGTGCAGCTCTTTCACAGGTGCAGCCATGGAGGTTCAGCACAGCTTTCTGTTGGGCCTTAATCAGCTTAATTTCTTTGTCTTAAACTCCCTTTTGAATTTTAAAGGTAAGATGGAACAGCAATGTCAGTCTCAACAGATAGCACAAGATCATGGTATTAATTTGCAAGGATGAGCAGCTACAAAATCTCTGAATTGCACTTGCTTAATTTATAAACCTGCATGGGTTGTGTTTTTTGTTTTTTGTTTTTAATTTTTTCTCAGAACAGGGTTTCAGATGGATCCAGGCGTGGCTCTGGGAACTAGTTTGGGTATCAGCCAATCCTAAATGATATTTCTAACCTTAGAAAAAATACATTTTACAGCTTCAGTGCAACTGATGTCATTTTTTATATTGAAATAATACTGTTAAAGCTGAGTTGACACTGACTTCGGTCTCTCTTATTCTTATGTATGCATAGACTATATACTTTGTTAAAACAAGAGTTGCTTCAATGAGCTTTTAAAACTAAAAGGAAAAATACAGAATCAGTGGCAGCACTAGTAAGTATCACAAATTACTGAAGATGCCAAGTACATAAATGACTTTGGTAATATGATGGATCTCAGACAGACTGTGGGTTGACTTATAAAGAAGAAAGCTGAAGAAATACTTTACTACACTGTACAGTGGCTTTTTCTCCTTTTTCAGTTTCTGAAAGAGTATTTCAAGAGCTGCAGTTTCCTTTGGCTGCATTTATACAATTAATGGAACTCTTCCATGCAAAATGGCTTTTACTTCTGAGTGCCAGACATTAAAATAGCAGGCCAAGAAATGTCTGACATGCCAGCTGCAGTTAAAATGGTATGCATTTATGGGATTCACAAAGGCTTCCTTTTGGATGCATTGGCAACAGTGAAGGAAGGGATTGAATCTGAAGCACTTCTGTCCTCTATCCAACTTTCCTGCCAATGCAACGGACATCTTCCTTTTCCTTACCTAGCTGCATATCTTCCTTCCATTAAAATCATGGGATTTGCCTGTTTAAAGATGGTATACAGTGGATAAACTAGTCTCCAGTCTACAGTGGATAAACTAGTCTCTACAGTGTATGATAAACTGATCTCCAGAATTCCTTCCTTCCCCTACATAGTAGCTTCGAATTTGCTGAGGAATGGTCTTCAAGTATGGGATTCAACGATTCAGAAAAGTAGTGCATAATGGAAGTTTTTAGTCCTCTTGAAAATAAATGCTGAATTCTTGGATGATGGCTTCAGCAGCAAATTGGTTAAAGTTTACCTATTCTGAAAAGAGAATTTAAAAGGAACGTACACTAAATTCCTATTGTCCTTACAGTGACTAAACAGATAAGCAGCTGCTAATTGAAATCAGTATTGAAACATAGAAGAGCATGGACCTCACTCTTAGCTCCTATCCAATCAGGGTTTTTTTGCAAGCAAAAAGTCTTAATTTTTGTTCCCTTCTTCCCCTGGGTTTTGAATGTCAGCCTACCTATTGTAAGACAGGAATATATCTCTAAACCCCTGTGGATGCTGTATGCGTGGGCCTTAATGTAGGAGCTGTATAGTGTAAAACACATTGCTGTTCCTTGGGAGCAGAACTGAAGTGGTATCCTTTTATTAGATATGTTTACATGACACTGTGCCAAAGTCATTTACTGTGATTTTTAATTTTTTAAAGCATCAGGATTCAGCCCATTTTTAAGAAAAAAATTAAGAGCCCTTGAAGCAAATTGTAGTGGGGGTCTTCTGAGAACTTTTCCCCTTAGTCTTAAAAGCAAAAAATTATGGTACATGCAAGTTTGTTTTGCTGGTTTTCTTTCCACCTCCCCGCCCCTACCTAACCCACCACCCAAAAAAACATATTTTGAAAATTGTCTTTTGAGTTCGTTTAAAGAATCTGCTGTACAGAGCTTGTACTTTGTTCATTTTATAGATGGAAACCATCCTTGAAAATTGTTTAACTTAAATAAAGAAATACTTTATAGAAAAGATGGTGGTTCTTATTGTTATTGCTTGGTTTCACAGATGATTACTCAGCCTGGAACTTGTAAACTGAAGTGGTTTGCAAATGCCTCCGATAACTTGATTGTTTCATGAGTTTCTTAGTTTAAAAAAAAGCTGCACAATTTACTTTGCTTGACTCCTGTCAAATAAAAAGTTGACAGGAGTCAACTTCATTTGACTCCTGAAGACAGGAGACTTCATTTGTAATAAAGTCTTAAGACACATTTCCTGAAAGTTATCATACATCTTATGGCTGTCCCTTTTTATTTAAATTCACTGACTTGTGCTCACTGGGCAGTAAATATATATGACTTTGTTAGGACTTTTTCCATTTGAAATGGATAGAATAGTTCTTCATAAAACATGTTATTGAACAATATTCATGCTTTGCTGAAACCTAATAACCCTGTCAGATTTCAGGAAACCAAAAAGGGAACATAACTTTTGCAAATGAAATTTTAGAACTCTAGCATAGGTTTCATACTTTCTTACATGTCTCTCTCTGATCTGAGAGGTTAAGTAATATGTTCCAACAGGCTACAGATGTTTATAACTTCAATCCAGACTGGCAGTAAAGAGCATATGCTTATCAGTATGCCTTACTATGCATGTTCTTGTTACCAGTGGATTTATTTCCATACACTTTTCTTTATTGTAACAATGCAACGTAAACATCTGGATTACATGAACCAAAGGTCCAGCAAATCTTGCGTTACTCCTGACCAAGACCTGATTTTTTTTTTTTTTTTTTTTGTCTTCCCTATACTGTTGACCTGTGCAAAACATCTATATGTTCTCAGCTAAGTTTACTATACGTTACGAATGGAACAGTCTGCCCCACAGCCTGACGCATGTAATGGACCTGTTTAGTATTTATTCATACAGATTTATCCCTCTTGTATATCAAATTTCAATCTTCCCTTTGAATAACTTGTATCATTTTGCATCCAGAGAAATCTGTTCCCTCTGAGCTCTGAGAATATCTCCTGACTACCAATAAACTATTGAAAATGAAGCATCAATTTAGATCTTACTGAAGTATTAATCATTCTATGTTCCAAAGTAGCTGTTTGTTCTTGATTCATTTTCAGTGCTGAGCTCAATGCCTAATAAAAATAGTTGAAACCTTTTTATAATTAGAAACAGCTTTGATCTTACTAGACATTGGTAGAAGGCAGGGTAGATTTTTGCAACTTGTAACACAAGCTTTCGTGGGCTAGAGCTCACTTCATCAGATGCTGTGAATTGGCATGCGGGGAGCAGTGTATAAGACAGTTTTGAATATAAAAGGCAAAAGGGAGGAGGGACAGGGAAGAGGAGTGGTTGGGAGAAACAAAGAACTCATAGGAACAAAGGAGTCTGAAAAACTAACCCAGGTAATGGGATAAGAAATCGGAGACCCAGTTTAATTCCAGGTAGCTCTCAGAGGCCATACGCACCACAATCCATTCTAGATGATTTCATGTTCCCTAAATTCCAGTTCACATCAGGTTGTTGGTTTGTTTTTTTTTAAGTTTGCCGTCTAAGAACAGTAATCCCGAGGTCAGCAAGGGAGTGTCAAGGGAGATAGCAGAGCTCTGCCACAGGTTAAAGACCAACCAAATTATGCCTTTTTTCCTCTCTAAAGTTATAAAATGTTATCCATCTGTGGCAGGCTTATATAGAACCTAGCATAGTAGAGCCCTGGCTTGGGATAGAATCCCTGGAGACTGCTACAATACAAATTAATTAGTGTTTTTTAAGTTAATTTTTCTACTAAAAAGCTCTGAGTGTCTCTTGTGATGACCCTAATTTCATTTAACTTAAATCTAGATTCCTGTAAAATTAATATATCTAGAGCTAACACATTTGCACTGGTTATACCCAGCCTGACGCTCAATAACCAGCTGTGCACAAATACTAGCTTTAAAATGTTTTAAGAGTTGCTTTTGCTTAGCAGTGACTTAAACATTTCCATCACTTTGGAATACTGGTCTGTCTTAACAAGAAATGACTGGAGAATGGACTAAAATGTGGGGAGTATATTCTGTAAAGATCAAATAAAATGTGCAATCCAACATTCTGTTGCTATTTTAAGCATGCTGGTAATCAAGCCTCAAAAGATGTTTTAACAAAGTCAGTCTGTAGGTTCTCTATCTATACAGCCTTTCAGAGAGCTGCCTTAATGGATACATAATACTCCCTGCATTTGCTTAGTTGCTGCCTGCACCTTTGGTTTAGCTGACTGTTTGTTTGTTTGTTTGGTGGGGGCTGTGCTCTGAGAAGCTGGGAATGAGTGCTGACTGTTGAGTGTGGCATGGGAGGTTTGCTGCCTACCCAGAGCCAGGATCCGGGACAGCACTGCGAGAATTCCCAGCCTCATCCGGGCCTCTGATTACTATCGCATGGTCCTCATCCATGTGGGCACAAGTGATGCGGCCAGGAGTAGTATGGACCACGTCATGAGTGACTACAGAGCTCTGTGGGCCAGGCTTAGGAAGTCGAGAGCACACTACAGAGCACACTACAGAGCTCTGTGGGCCAGGCTTAGGAAGTCGAAGCGGTCTTCTCATCCATTCTTCTAGTCAGCAGTCGCCGTCAGCATCAGGACACTTGCACCAGGTAAGTCAACCTGCAGCTCTGGAGTTGGTGCCATCATGCAGGTTTTGGCTTCTACAACCACGATCTGCACTTCTATGAGAGAGGCCTCCTGGGACGAGATGTTCTTAATCCCTCTTGTAAAGGTAAAAGTGTTCTCTGCCAGCTTGGCTGATCTCCTCTGAAGGGCTTTAAACTAGGTTCATCGGGAGATGGGGAAGCAGAGGATGAGGAGGACCTAGGATCAGCGAGCCATAGTTTCATAGTTTCTAGGGTCGGAAGGGACCTG